ATTCCATGCTATTTTTTTACCGCCCTCAAACAAAACCCAGTAATTTATTAAATGATCATGAAATAAAATTATTCTACCATTCTTACTCACATAAACAATGTGAATAATTATTGGGGAATTTATTTATGATTAGTTTTTAATTTATGAACAAGTTATTAAAAGAGTACATTTATTTGGAAAATAAACATTTGAAAATATCGGGAATTGTGACTTATTTTTTATTTGTTTTGTTTGTGTTTACCTGGCCGGTTAATAAAAAAGCAATACAATTGTATAAAATGGTGTCAACACATGAGGTTTCAATCGCCTTTGGGCATGATTAGCAGAAAGTCAATGCATGTTATTTGGGTATCAGAATTACACATCACTGAACATGCTGGTCAATAATGACACTGATTTCAATCTATGTACTGCAAACAATCTTTGTTTCAATATACATTGTATATGTATAAATTTATTTCGGGATTAGTTAACTTTGGACATAATCTGAGGGTTCCCAGTGTTATTGTTTTCTGTTACATAGAGAATCTAACGATAATTAAATTGGCAAGTTAGTGGAAATATCATGACTGAAAAATAATATTCGGCAAAATTTAACAAAGAATTTTTTAAAAGCTCCAATACTTAAGAAAAATGCGTTCAGAGTATAGTATTAAAATAGGCCTTGCTCTATAATTATAAGATCTATTTAAAGCTAATTCTGGTAGGAAATAAACAATTCAAGGTTAATTTTCTACTTAAAAAAATAAATATTAAAAAAAATATCAATCACAGAAAAAAAAATTGATTTATTTTGATGAAAAAATAAAATACCACATAACTGTGTTTAAATATTCATGTTATTAATAGGCTTGAACGTCTTCTTCGTTCAATAATTATTTTTTTGTTTCTATACGCGTACTGTGATTTTCTTAACAGTTCAGAAATGACTGTCGTGTAAGAATTGTAGATATTTGTTGATACTACTCAGAATGAAATGCATCATCAATTTCAACTGCCTTTTATAGTTACATTGTTTATTGGTAATCTCATTTTTGAGTAAGCTCCACCCATTAAATTAATTATAATTAATCCCGCCCACTGGGACTGCTTTCTGGGATCGTTGGGACTGCTGTGGTACTGCTCTGGGACCGCTGTGGGACTGCTTTAGCAGTCTTAGAAAGCAGTCCCCGGGACTGCTTTGTTTCAGGTACTGTACCTCCAGTAGGTAAAAACAATGACGTAATAATATGACGTCATAATGTGTACTGACTATAACATACGGTGGGTACCGGGTATGCATAAGAAAATAAATCAAAACTCTATGAATAATAAATATACCTCACGCAGCTAGGTTAAGGACTCCCATATCTACGTCATCCTATGCAGAGGTTCGGGAAAGCTATTATGACGTCACGTTAAACATGTCAAATGAATCTCGACGAATAACTACTATATATTCTTTTAAAACACACTAAAATACTTTTGTTTCTCATAAATGTTATAAAGATAAATTGATGTGCAACTTATCTTACCAAAATACCACTTTGAGTATGTAGAATGAAAGCCTGCTTGATCTCGCTCTACTTACTGAGATGACGTCATTTCTTAGTTTGACACGCAGTTTCTCTGTACTTAAGGCGTGAATCAAGCTATTATCGTAGCTTGTAAAAATAAAAATAAATACGAAACAAGCTTTATTGAACCGAATACATATTCTAAAATATATTAATCCATATTTTATTTTCAAACTAAATGGATAAGACTTTATAAATAGCCAAAGAGAGCACAATTTGTACAGTAATTAATGAGCTAGAATGAGGGGTCCAGCCCTCGAAAATATCAAAAGTTCAACGATATCCGCTTTACTATAAATTCCGAATTTTTGAACATGTGTAGCTATTATTCCTACTATTCTGAAAAATGCTGGGAGCTGGTTGTGCATTGTTTATTTATTCCGTAATATAACATTATTCCAGTGCGTATTACATCTATGTCTGGAGTTTATAAAAAGACGGCTAAATTTTACACAATTCCCGAGCACGAGGAAGTTGCTCCCAGCACTTTTCATGTTAAGAAATTTGTCTTACACACAACAGAATAAATTTTACAGCGGAAAGATACCCGTATATCGTTGAACTTTTACGATTTTTGTAGTAGTACATTTATGTTCTAATTTTAAACCTGTCACGTGACAAACAGCTGATGTAAGAGATGTTGCTTTGGCCGAACTCAACATACACCCGATATATACAACTGCAAACACCACAATGCACATTCATCAAAGCTAATGTTGTTAAAAGAAAAAATAAAATTGTATTCATTTTCTCTGAACATATTAAAGCGGATATTTCGCGTCCTTAACCTAGCTGCGCATGCGTTTTTATTAGTTCATTTGCATAGAAACGCCTATACCTAGCGTTAACTCACATGCGTAATAAAGGTAGAAATTTGTCTTGTACTCGATGATACTTTTGAATGTATATAAACAAAGAGAGTACATTGAACACCAAGATAAATTCTTACATCTATACTGTTTCAAATTTCATACGCATCCGAGATTCGCACGCAACCAAAGCTCGTGCGCACCTCCTAACACCTCGTGCACACCTCCTAACCTTATTAGTATAAATCGGAACATTTCTGAGATGCACATCGTAAAATATTAACAAATTCCGTAAACGTCCGAACAGTTTTCACCACGAGATTTAGATGAGACCAACATGCAAGACGTGAAAATGGAGAGGAATGTTCAATTCGAAGAAAGAGGTAAAACTTTGTGTTTTTGTTAAGTACAAAGTTTTTAAATAACAAATAGTTGGAAAACAAATGTTTATTTACATGAAAACTGAAAGTTTGGATGAAGTATCTCATTCTTTTATGTGGTATTGTACATGAAAGTGTCAAAACAGCACCTCTCGATTTTGTAAACATTTTTTCACGTGTAAGGGAGTAGTTGTGTCGATAAGGATTAGCCCACTTACTTTGAAAAAGTGATCAAAAGTGCATGCAAATTAAACGCTGAAGTATTTTTTTTTATTCTCAGATGCATAAAATGGCTAGATATTTAAGGACAAGTTTGTAAAATGCTGTTGTTGCATGCTTTATTTGAGGAGATATATGCAGGTGTGCTATAGTCCGTTGCTACGTATACACTAAGCTATATGTATATGTTATCACAGTCAAAGTCAGTATTTTTTCTTACAAATACCCAGTGATCTGTGAGAGAAAAACCTTTTTTTTAACTTCAGGATTCTATATATGTACCATGTAAGCTCTGCATGCCGAAATTCCTCTAATGTCTACATATGTACATATATAGGTCTGTTTACATTTATTTACAGTTTGTACTATAATATTGTCAGCAGTTTATATCAGTCACTGGTTTGAATAGAGCCTACTGATGAGAAAATATTTGATGCTTCTCTTATATGATGTCATATATTAAAAACACATTAGTAGATAAATTGGGGTAGGGTTTGGTGGAAAGGAATAGAATGGAGCTCAAAATGTAGATGCATATGTCAATTATTTACATGTGTTAAAATGATCTTGTCCATATAACAGATCTTAATTAGGCCAAAATTTTGTTCTCTGGGTGTTACATGTAGAGAAGGAAACTGGGTTTAAGTTTTTAGTTTTTACTTTTTTGTTAAAAGTATGAAATGTGTGTGTGTGTGTGTGTGTGTGTGTGTGTGTGTGTGTGTGTGTGTGTGGAACATGTATTTAATTTTGCTTGTCTCATGGGCAATATAAAATTTTTTCTTCTTCATACAACTCAGATACATGTACTTATAACCGGATATCACATATTTCTATAACAAGCTTTATTTGCACATGCATATTACACTAAACTTTTAAATATGCAGTTTATAATAACTTCTTTGTGTCTTCTACTTTCACACTTTCAACTTCTAAAGAAAACATAGTTTCATTTTTTTCTCATAATAGTTATCATCCATCTTAGTACTACGATCACTTTTTGATTAAATACTTTAAAAAAAAAAATTTCAGACATCAATTTGTTATATGAGAAAAAAATTGACATCAGTTAATTAATGTCAACATTAATAGTGCATGTTTTGAATATTTATTTGACAATATATTTAATATTATTGATATTTGTTTCTAAATTATTAAAAGTCTTTTTTAGATTTGAGTACATCTTGAACAGCCTTGCTTCTCCATAAAATGGTATGAAAGACCCACAAATACATAATGTTCATTTAACTATTATTGTGCATTTTGCATAAATAAATGAACAATTATTGAATTCAGAAATTTAAATATGTAGCATAACACTGACAAGCAGTTAATTAATTTATGTATTTTATATATGTAACATAAAATTTGTAAATTTAGTACATAGCTATAATTAAAGAAGTCAACTAGTGTGACAATGTGTGTTTTAGCTCACCTGAGCTGAAAGCTCAAGTGAGCTTTTCTGATCACCCATTGTCCTTCATTCGTCCATCCGTCTTTCCGTCCGTCTATAATTTTTTCATATTTTCAACTTCTTCTCAAGAACCGCTGGGTCAATTTTAATTAAAGTTGGTACAAATCAATCTTGGGTGAAGGGGATTTTAAATTGTTAAGACGAAGGGCCAAGCCCTCTTACAAGGGGAGATAATCAAGAAAAGACAAAAATAGGATGGGATCGTTAAAACATCTTCTCAAGAGCCACTAGGCCAGAAAAGCTTAATCTTATGTGGAAGCATCCTGGGGTAGTGTAAATTATAAACTGTTCAAATCATGACCCCCGGGAGTAGGGTGGGGCCACGATGAGAAATCCAATTTAAAATTGGTAAACATCTTTCTTTGATAATCAGGAAAAGTAAATGCATCATGTTTTATGCAGTGTAAACAAATGTTTGTAAAAACAAATAAATAGCTTTAAATAATTTTAATAATATTGGTGATGTTGATATTGGTTTAAAGAAGAAAGATATATTCTTACTACATAACGAATTCAAACATATAACAAACTGTAAAATACAAGTGTCACAAAGACAAAACGTGAACAATGATATACTAGCCGCCAAAACATTCGTAAATCATATTTGAAAATTCACGAACTTTGGTTTGATTTTCACGATTAATAATTTTGTTATCATATATTTGCATTTGCTTGAGAGAGAAGTATGGTTTAATGAGCATATGGTCTCATTCACCTCTTTTTGCCTATTTCAAAGATCCTCTAAATCGTCTAAGTTGATATCCGTATGCTATGTCGTGCATTAGGTTTGTTTATAATATAAATATTTTAATTGCTTGTCTGCAAACTAATGATACATTAGAAATATTGTCAGTAATATATTATACCGTGTTATAGGTGAATATACATGTTCGCAGACACATACATACCCATTAATGAAAAATAGTTTACACATGTATTACATCAACAATGGTACTAATCCTGTAATAAAAAACTATTTTCATCTTTAAAAGAATATATATGTGTAATTATATAATCACAGTTTGTAAAATTTCCCCTCGTTAGTTTTCTGGTTCACTCAGGTTTTCCTCTGAAGTTTCGCTGAGTTGTCCAGTGACGTAAAAATTGTGGGAGGATTGATAATCCACAGATTCACTGGAGGAACATACCGATTTGTTTCCCTGTACGTGGGTTGGCTCAATATATGTACCATCATTTCCATGTTCTTGTCTTCGCTTATGTCGGACGATGAAACAAACGATGACAATAATGATGATTATGAAAACTATGCCACCTGCAGACGATCCAACATACACCACCGTCTGGCCCTTCGACTCTGGAGGCCCCATGCAGTCAGATCCACAACATTTTGAACTGCACTCTAGAAGAAATTCATTTAGTTCACAACTTTTATACCTACTAAATTCAATCTAAGTTGAACAAACCATTGTTAAATTGTTTTCGTCTTACATATTTCTGATGATGTTTTCAAAAACAGACAAACAACTAAATTTTCCTCGTTGATCGTTTATATAAACTGTTGACAATGAAGCAGAGATATTTTATCCTAAATAAGCAAAAATAGAAGCATTCTACTAAAACAACATGAAACAAGCATTCTGAGAGTATTGCATTAGCAATACTAGTCCCCTACCGGCAAGTGTAATCTGGTTCCCGTAAGAATTGAAAATGCCATAATTCCGTCAAAAATTAATGAAACGGGACGAAATGCAAACTTGATCTATAACTAATCAAGGTAAAGCCACATACCAAAAATCAGCTCAATATCTACAAGCGTTTAGAAGAAAATTGCGGAAAACCCCTAAAAATTGAAAAGGCCGTAATTCCGTCAAAAATCAATGAAGCGGAACGAAATGCAAACTTGTTCTGTAACTCATCAAGATACACTCACATACCAAAAATCAGCTCAATATCTGCAAGCGTTTAGGAAAAAAGTGCGGAAAACCAAGTGGGACAGACTGACAGACAGACAGAGGGACAGACAGAGGGACAGACAGACAGACGGACAGACAGACAGACAGACGGACGGACAGACGGACGGACAGACTCAGAGGAAACCTATAGTCCCCTCCGGTTTCACCGGTAGGGGACTAATAATATACATTTATTGACTGAGTTCGAGGGCAACATGCGTTTTGTCAGACCCAAGAACCAAAATGCTTGCCTGAGGCTGTTATTAAAAAGCTTAAGAAAACATTAATTGACTGTGTTCTCGGCGGGTAAAATGCGTTTTGTTGACCTTTCGAGCCTACCGGCCTCAGGCAAACAGTTTGGTTCTTGAGTCCGACAAAACGCCCTCGAACCCAGTCAATAAATATATATTTTTACCTTTTTTGACGCAATGCTTGGAGGGACAGGTTTCCTTCAAGTCACAAAATCCCTTTACCAAAGTTCCTTTCATTGAACTCGTACACCATGAACAGCCGGAAGTACGGAAGCATTCACTATATAAACGTACATGGAAAGGTAAATATGTTGGAATTCACTCAAATTTATAAGCAAATAAGTTTCAAAGCGGTGTCGATCAGCAACAATAATAGAATATAAAATATATGTAAAGACAGCAAAAAGAACAGTTAGTGTGTTCATGGGCACGTCTTTCAAAAACTAAGGCAATCTATAACTGAACCATGGAGACTTGCCTTTCTGTTTTTCGGCAAGGACAGTTGGTTGGAAAACAGGTTTCCAAATTTCTAGTTTTGTCTTCTTCAGGTGTACTAACCGATTCCAGAGTTGGTAGGTTAGGATTACAAGGATCTTTCCCCTCCCTATCATTGTTTACAAAATTATGAATAAAATTTACTAAATGATAAAACGTGTTGAAATTGTGTAACTACATACAGTACCAACCAGACCCAACCTGACACCTAAGCAATCCCAGAAAGCAGTCCCCGGGACTGCTTTGGGACCGCTCTGGGACTGCTGTGGGACTGCTCTGGGACCGCTGTGGGACTGCTCTGGGACCGCTATGGGACTGCTCTGGGACTGCTCTAGAAAGCAGACCCAGCAGTCCCAGCAGTCCCTGGGACTGCTTTCTGGGACTGCTTTGTTCACTCATGCGTGAAAAAGGTTCTGAGTGACATGATAGCTCCGCCCCTTGTGTATTCTGAATTTGCAGCTCCCTGTTTTTGTTTTGTTTACTTTCTGCAGAGAGGTGTTTAAGATAATTTTAAAAAAAAAAAAAAAACAAGTATTTTTTACAAAAATTAAATAAAAGGAGATAGTTATACATGTAATTACTAAATGTCTTCAGGGGGCTGTAAATTTACACGATTGTAGTCTAGAATTAATTTTAAAAAAATAAAAGTAGTTAAAAAGGGAAGTCAGAGGATGATTTTTATCCCTTAAATTAAACTTCAATTAAAAATAATTCAAAAATTATCTAGGCCTATTTAACAATTAATGCTGGCAAATTACATAAGTACTCAAAGTTTGCATTAGCACTATTTTAAAAAACAAACAAAAACAAACAAACTTGTCATTTCAGTAAGATACATGTATTCAGAGGAACGTACCGTACTGGATTTTTTTTTCTTAATTGAAAAAGCTAATACCATGCTTAAAAAAGAGCACTCCATGCTATTTTTTACCGCCCTCAAATAAAACCTAATGATTTATTAAATGACCATGAAATAAAATTATTCTACCATTCTTCTGTCACATAAACAATGTGAACAATTATTCGGGGATTTATTTATGAATTAGTTTTTAATTTATAAACAAGTTATTGAAAGAGTACATTTATGAAAAAATAAACATTTCTAAATATCGGGAATTGACTTGTTTCTTATTTGTTTTTTTTTTGTGTTTACCTGGCCGATTAATAAAAAGCAATACAATTGTATAAAATGGTATTAACACCTGAGGTTTCAATCGCCTTTGGGCATAATTAGCAGAAAGTCAATGCATGTTATTGGGGTATCAGTGTTACACATCACTGAACACGCTGGTCAACAATGACACTAATTTCAATATATGTACTGCAAAAAATCTTTGTTTCAATAATTGTGCATAGATTTATTTCAGGATTAATTAATTTTGAACATAATCTGAGGTTTCCATTTGTGTGATTTACAGTTGTTCACTCGAACATTTATATCTAATAATAAAACACTTAAAACTGAGAATCTAAGGATAATTAAATTGGCAAGTCATTGAAAATAATCATGACTGAAATATGATATTCGGCAATGTTTAACAAAGAATTTTTCAGAAGCTCCAATTCTTAAGAAAAATGCATTCAGAGTATAGTATGGGAATCGGCCTTGCTCTATAATTATTATATATATTTAAAGCTAATTCTAGTAGTAAATAAGCAATTCAAGTTTAATTTTCTATATTAAAAAAAATAAATATGAAAACCAATATCAATCACAAAAAATAAAGAAACTGGTTTATTTTGGTGAAAAATTAATATACCAAATAATTGTGTTTAAATATTCATGTTTTTTAATAGATATGTACGTCTTTTCATTCAATAACTATCATTTGTTTCTATACGCGTACTGTGATCTTCTTAACAGTTCAGTAATGACTATGGCGTAAGAATTGTAAATATTTGTTTTTTAATAGATATGTACGTCTTTTCATTCAATAACTATCATTTGTTTCTATACGCGTACTGTGATCTTCTTAACAGTTCAGTAATGACTATGGCGTAAGAATTGTAAATATTTGTTGATACTACTCAGAAAGAAATGATCATCAATTTCAACTGCCTTTTATATAGTTACATTGTTTATTGGTAATCTCATTCTGAGTAAGCCCCGCCCATTAAATTGATTAACCCCGCCCACTGGAACTGCTGGGACTGCTTCCTGGGACCGCTGGGGCTGATAGGACCGCTGTGGGACTGCTTTGGGACCGCTCTGGGACTGCTTTAGCAGTCCCAGAAAGTAGTCCCCGGGACTGCTCTGGGACTGCTTTGTGTCAGGTTGGGTCTGGTTGGTACTGTACAAGTAAAAATGTATGAAATATATGGAGATAACGAACAGTATTCAAGCTCAAAAGTCCATTAAACAATACAAAATAGGAGTAGAGCAAGCACGGACCTCCAAAACATAAGTTTATTACAGTGAAAATTGAAAGTCGACATTTTTTTAAAAATTACATGTAAAACTTACATGCTTTCATATTTGTTTTCACATTCGTTAAAATCTAAGCCCTTGTAGCAAAGACAAGTACAGGTGCCTTCTCCACATTGCTGTGAACTGGGAGAAGAGGAACTCTGTGAAAGTTAACATTCCAAATATAATTTTCTTTAGTTATGTTTTTATTAACATTGATATTCTCCCTTGAAACTGATTTTATTTAAAGAAAAGATTCTCACATTCTAAATCCATGTAATCTCATTGACCAAGAAAATTATTTCTTTTTTCTTGCCAAACTACTCCTCTGAATAATCTGTGCATGCGAAACATAATTTAAATGGATGAATGCATGTACAGTCAGTAAGAATTTCCCACTGCAAGTTAAAAGTGATAAAGACATTTAAATATCTAGTAAGTGAAATGTACCTGCATAGAACAGCATGCTGCTGCAGAGTCCTCAATATGTCGTACTTCTTTAAGTATCAAAAAAACATTCGACCCAGTAACTGGGCGTATTTCGTATTTTTCATCGGTATACACCACCCCATTTAGCTGAGACTGTGGTAATCTGACCTAATGAGATAATACAATATTTATTGATAATAGTTTATGTGATAAGGATAAAACACAAAACACAATATGTATAACATGTACATTAACACTGTAATTTTGGAAGGACATTAGTATTTTGATATGCATATGGAGGACTTATACTGTTAATTTTAACAATTTTTTAGTAGACTAATCAAAACAGTGATAAATATAAATTTAATTCTGGTTGTAACACGCCATTTGATTGGATAACAACAAAAATTAGTTTATATCATATAACCTGTGTTGCCTACATCACAATGACTTACGTCAAAAATATATTAATCCGCTTGACGTTGCATTTAAAATTTGAATAATTTTAAGGCCTTTTTGAAGGGAAAATTGTCTTATTTTTTAAACTTAATGATAAAAAATGAAATTATAAGGAATAAAGTTAATAGCTACCCAAGTTATACTTGTATAACCTGGGTTGGAACAGTTTACGCTTTTTACAAACCGCTTCACGCTATCCCCAGGTCATACAGTATACATGTGTAACTTGGGTAGCTATTAATGTCTGAAATGTTTTATTTTGACAATCTTTTTTTACCCTGTATGTGAACTGTTCCTTTTTATTTTCTGTGTCTCTGCATGGCTGTCTGTACATAATACCAGATGATATCAGAGAACGAGATATCCTGCCCTCCTGCCAGACAAAAATAAAATTCAAACAGGAATGTTTACATTGCAAGAATATGTAAATAAATATAGTGAAGCCTTTAATATTTTCATACATATTTTCTCAGAAGTTTGTCAAAATACTAAATTATTTCATTAATACTAATGTTCTTGAAATTTATACTGAATCTCAGTAGTTCGGTTGAAAGACAGAAATCTGGAGATTAATTTCAATATTTTTTATCTCAATAATTTCACATTAATTAAAATAGCTTTCTGTTGCCAAATTCTTTACAATGCAAAAAACTAATCATAATAATCCTGTACTTTCCAAATTTTAAAGATCGGCCCCGGTCTAGATCTGCTATTTCTGCTTAAGATCTCATTATTCACAGATAATGTTATGTGGTTCGAATGAACTGAAGAGGAGGACATTAAAGATCACTCTTAGGAATATTTTATTTCACAAGGTTACACCAAAGTAGTCGTAATGTTTTATTAGCGTAGCTATTTTTATCTCATTATTAGTATATGTTATGGGGATATGTGTTTGTGATGTTGATAAAGACATTTAACGGAAATGTTATTTCAATATTCAAAAGTAAATAAGTAGAGAGAAATTTGCAAGTAATTTACTACTCAAGAAGATTTTGAAAGACTTAGAAGCTACACGGAAAAAGTTATGATACTAGGTAATAGTAATATAGTAATACATAACGTTGTAGGTGATGTGGATTCGGTTTTTACTGATAAGTAATACATAACCTTGTATGTGATACGAATTTGATTCTTTAGTGTTTTAGTAATATGTTATCGTGTAGGTGTTGTAGATTTGATTCTTAACTGTCTTAGTAATATGTTATCGTGTAGGTGTTGTAGATTTAATTCTTTACTTTTTTAGTAATATGATATCGTGTAGGTGTTGTGGATTTGATTCTTTACTGTTTTAGTAATATGTTATCGTGTAGGTGTTGTGGATTTGATTCTTTACTGTTTTAGTAATATGTTATCGTGTAGGTGTTGTAGATTTGATTCTTTACTGTTTTAGTAATATGATATCGTGTAGGTGTTGTAGATTTGATTCTTTAATGTTTTAGTAATATGTTATCGTGTAGGTGTTGTGGATGAAATATATGGATAAAACGAACAGCACCCAAGCTCAAAAGTCCACTAAACAATACAAAATAGGAGCAGAGCAAACACGGACCTCCAAACATCAGAGGTGGGATCAGGTGCCATGGAGGAGTGAGCATCCCCCGCCGACCGGTCACACCAGCCGTGTGCTCCTTGTCATGACCGGGAAATAACGGAAAAATCCGTCGACAATTCAGTGTGTAAATAATGGCCTAACAATTAGTATGAAAAACGTCAGTCAGCATTTGACTCAATGATAAATTGTATTTGCTGACAAGGTCATTGTATCGACCATAGAACATACGAAATGATGACTTTAAACGAGACAGCTGATATTCTTGTTTCATCAACTTGTTTGTCAATAATTTACCTCGTTTTAGAAATTGTTCATACGTCGAGCATGCTCTTGCGTATCGAATCAACTGAGAGATATATACTCCGTATGCAGGTGATGAAGGTATATTGCTGCATAAGTAAGGGAAGTTGACGATTGAAAAGTTAAAGTCATCATGTTTATCATAAAGCTTGGTTGTTATATTACCATTCACGTCTTTTTCAAGTAAAATATCCAAATATGAAACAGATGTGTCAGACTCTGTGGTATCTTTTATCTCAAGCTCACCAGGATATATCGTATCGACATAAGAATGAAAATAACCATTGTTAATTGACAATACATCGTCGATATATCTAAATGTCGAGTTGAAGGCCACAGCAAGTATTTTCTTCTTATCACGTACAAGATTTTGGACAAATTCTGCTTCATATGAATACAAAAAAAGGTCTGCTAATAACGGGGCGCAATTGGTACCCATGGGAATTCCAATAGATTGTTGGAAGACCTGGTCTCCAAAAATCACATAGATATTGTCAATCAGAAACTCAAGCATCTTTTTAATGTCAACTTCAGAGTACTTGTGTGTACAATCAGAATGTTTTTTAACAAAATAATTTTGCAAATGACCAATGACAAGGTAAGTATATTTACGAGTTCCATTTTTATTGAAAAAGCAGCTGTCAATTATATCAAAAAGCCTGGACTTTAATTTATTGTGGATTTGATTCTTTATTGTTTTAGTAATATGTTATCGTGTAGGTGTTGTAGATTTGATTCTTTACTGTTTTAGTAATATTATATCGTGTAGGTGTTGTAGATTTGATTCTTTACTGTTTTAGTAATATGTTATTGTGTAGGTGTTGTGGATTTGATTCTTTACTGTTTTAGTAATATGTTATTGTGTCGGTGTTGTGGATTTGATTCTTTACTGTTTTAGTAATATGATATCGTGTAGGTGTTGTAGATTTGATTCTTTACTGTTTTAGTAATATGTTATCTTGTAGGTGTTGTGGATTTGATTTTTAATGATGAAGTAATATGTGCTGTGGATTCGGCTCTTTAATGATGTAGTAATACATTACCTTGTTTGTGATATGGAATCGATTCTCTAGCGGATACGGTGTTTCAATGTAAGAAGGGTGCATAACAAGGAAGCCGCTATTGTCTATCACAATGCAGCTAAAATATAACATATAACGTCTTGCATTATATTACAGTTAAAATTCGAAAATCTCAGGCTTACAATCACAAATAGGTAAATGGATTTAACATATTATTTTATTAATACTTACATGTGAGTAAGTTAAAAAAAAGATCATATCAACTCTTTTAATAAATTACACGAGAAGTGACATTTTAGTCAATAAAAGGTTACATGTATATATATATATATATATATATATATATATATATATATATATATATATATATATATATATATATATATATATATATATATATATATATATACTGTCTCTAAAGATATATAAAATACATAAATTACTCCCTGATGCAACAATTTGAAAATAAATAATAAACTGCACATCTATATTTCATATCTATCACATTACAATAAACCTACAACAATTGCAATAAATTTAATTACAGCATGTTCATTAGAGAGAAAGTCAAATCTGAACAATATTTTTAATGAATGAAACATTTTGGTTTCCTTTGCATATCAAATATAAGAATGTACTTTTACATCTCATATTTTGTTTTAAATAAAAACACATATAAATACAAAGCAGATTATCATTACTTCACTACAGGTATAATTTCAAAACTGGTCTTCATTATAATTATAGTTTAGTACAGGACAAACACGCTAAGAATTGATAATCACCTGTATGATGTTTTGTTGGCACATATTGGATATCTGTCTTTCAGTATTTGGTTAAAATGATAAATGGAGAAGTCCGTCCCAATAACTGCTTCTATTTTAGATCTCATTCCAGGATTTGTCCCACTGTAACAGGTAAGAGTGGAACAAAGAGGTGAAAAAATATATTTTTTCTTATTTGGGGATTTATAAAGTCAAAAGTATAATAGCACGTAAATATATTACTTTGATACTAATGTTAATAAGCTAAAATCTACTTTCAGATCTAGAGGATTTATTACTAGCATCAATGAATTTTAAATATGACCTGTTGAACTAAAGTGACGATAACGAACATTGATCAATGACGCAAACTATATTTCTAGATTACATACCTTTTCAAAATTGCCCTTGTCAGGGAAATAACTTTACCAGATCCCCACGAGTCTTCGTACGGAGCAGACACAACATTAATCAATTTCTGGGCAACTGTTCGACGGTACCTGGTTAAAAGAAAAAAAATCTCTCAAAAGTTAGATTTATCTACATGGAAAGTCAAAATATTGTCAAATAACTCTACTTTCTTTCCTCTGTTGAATAAGACTTCGAAATAAATGTGCATATATTATTCAAAGGATAATAATTCTCAATTTTTACACACCACGGTCTAATTTTATGATCATAATCATTCGTAAGGCGGATGCCTGGATATATTCGCTGTACACCATCTTCAGTCATTATGTATCGCCAAACTAAGTATGGAGCATCTTGATAAGATATAGTCTTCCAAAAATCTTCAATGGGGTATGTGACTCTTATGGAATTGATTGCATCCACCTTTAAAATTTCGTATGGATTAATTTAAGACCTTAGATGACTTTACAAGTATTTGTATTTCAAAGCTTCGTTATTTTATTAAAAATTTAGTTTTGTAAATTCCTATTCTAATATTTGACAAAAATATAGTATATTCATTATGTTATATACCTTATTATATTATGTTTTGATCAAGACCTTTGATATCAATAGTTTCTAAAATTTTGCAATAGTATCTTGTTTCATAATAATATAATATAGCATCAACTGCACAGCTTTACACAAATGAGGTTTTTCTTTCTAAATCAAGAGTAGGTCACACACTTATAAATCAAAAGAACATAAATATAAATATTGAGTTTAAAGATACCTAACACAAACAAAAAAAAATTGATGCATGGATTGATATACTGTATATTTACTTAAAAAAGCGGGCTTCATATTTTAGCGGCTTTGGCGCAGACAACGATGCGCTAATTTATGAATACCACTAATAAATCTCATATATAAACAATACATGACACGGACATGTGTACCGCTAATTCAAGATTACACCAACTCCACACCCAGTGATTCCGCTAAATTTTGAATACACCAATTTATGTACACGTACAGTATATTTTTTGACTGATTTTGAATACAATTGACATAATAATAAATCCCTTACATATACATTGTAAGTTTTCTTTCGTTCTTATATATATGTCTATGTCCTTTTCTCTGTAAATCTACTAATTTTGTTCAGATTTTTAATCATTATTTCAACAGCTTAGTTTCTTAAAAAATATTTACAAAAACCCTGGTAAACATTTTTCAGTTTACCTAAGTATTTGAATATAAATCTATGAGATATATTGCTGATTTCTGAAAAAAAGTGTGTGTTATTTATCCTTACGAATACACAATACTGCCAAAATCAAATCAAACTGTCAGAATATGTATTTGTCGATACGACGATAATAATGTTCAATTTTTTCCTGAAAAGGCTATTGTTTAGAATTAAGTAGATTCATTTTTTCTGTAATAAGAGTAAAATGAAATTGAGATTTAATAATTTTCACGTCACAACATATCTCCCTGAGAGATATATGAAAAACAATCATGAGTTTTTAAATAAATTACAAAAGTCAGCATCAGCCATTACAAGTAGCATCATTAATTGTACCTTGAAATTCCTACCTTCAGACCAGGATTGGTTGTGATTGTTCCAGACAGATAGTCTGTATACTGCTTTACCCTTGTTTCTGTCTCTTCAACATACGTGTATTCATATGGATCCAAGAATGCGTCTGGTGTAAGCTTGATTGTTGTTTTGGCTTTCATAAACAATGTATTGAGATTAAAATTTCCTGTTACATTCATCAGGGTCACTGACATAAAATATGTAACTTCTGTCCTTGCGATATCTTATAATGGAACATTATTTGGAGCTCATTTAAATAAAAAGATTGCCTACATGTATCAGCTGAAGTTGTGTTGTAATCTGAACTCAAAGACATTTGGCAAAGTTAGGGCAATTGCGAAAAAGTATTAATTTTGTGTCTGATTCATAACTTTGTCAGAGGAAAAAATTGGATGCTCAATTGGACACGATGAAAGGTCGATAATTCGCGTCCTGTCCATAACTTTCCATTCGAGAAAAAATTGCTTACTCGGCAAAGTTAAAGGTCACTGGAAGAAATATGTACAATTTCTTTCTGTGCAATATCGTTTTATAGGACGAACACTGAAATTACATGAACATTTTCAATGACATTAACTCATCGTAATTTAGACCAAAAAAATCACTAGCAGAAAGGAAAAAGGTCTTAAAGTACTTTCTGATGTATGGTTTTGTGACGTAGAACATTGTTAGGTCAAAATTAAAATAAATATTGTTTATAACTGGAATGTGTATCAGCAGGGAGGGGGTATTATTTGGTAAGCTAGACTTGAGAATGTATTAATAATATCATTTCTCAGGATACTGATTTGATTTTACTTCCGAAACTTTATCACATAATGAAAATGTATATTATTATGTTTGCATAAAACTACTAGAAACCTTTTGTAGCATATCTGCTGAAATGCCTGCAAAATGGTTGAGGCCAGGTTGTTAAGTCCCAACGATGGTACACAAAATCATTGCTCTGGACAGACGGTCGGGAACGGTCGGCGAGTGTTGTCAGGCTGTTATTTTTCGACATAACCAAACAAAGAGAAAAGTTACTCCCAGATGCAACAATCTATAAATATAATTTTTATTTCACCTCCAATGTCAAATTTAATTTTTTGTCCTTCCTATTTCGGATTGATATATTGAAAATGTTGAAATTTTAAAAAATTTTACTGAAATATTTTACCGGAGCCCAGTAATAGACAGCATCAAGCTCTCTTTTGGAATCCCCATCAAACAATCTGTCTCCTCTGGTCTCAAAAATAGTGGTCAAGAGGGTCTTTTGTCCTGTCTCAGCCCTGTTTAAAGTAACTTTAATTTAAAAATTATTCAAAAACAAGTGTTATATATATATATATATATATATATATATATATATATATATATATATATATATATATATATATATATATATATATATATATATATATATATATATATATATATATACTGAGTAATACGTCAAATCCCTCGATCTTGATATAATTATTTCAAAAGTGGATGGTATTTGTTCGTTATTTTTAGGTTGACTGCACCTCTGAAAAGAGAATAAATTCTCACTGTAAGATGAATTACTATTATAATAAAAAAGGTTTTCTGACAACAATCGATCGCACTGTATTGTTCGCATTTCTATTTCGAATGAAGGTGTTTGTGAAAAAGAAATTCCAGAGGGATGATAAAGCTCAAACCTAATAAAACATTTTCTAACAAATTTACTCTATCGATTGAACAAAGCGAGTTTAAAACCGTTTAACATTTTACATTTAAGACATGCAAGTGTCAAAAACATATATTTACCTTTTCATGGAATCTATAACAACATGGACATCTCCAGATGTTTCAAAGTTGAAGATGTTATTTACGTCATACTCTGTTGCATTGACGTCACGAGGATCGGGAAGAAGGGGATGAATCAATGTCCTTTCTTCGCCATCTATGATAAAGACATAAGAAAATTCTCCTTGCTGAAGGTAAATAATTTCTGTTACCAGTTCACTGAGCAGAACATCGGCACAAGCTACCCCAACGAAGGCTCCCCTGTGTACAATAGGGACGCATCCCGTCACCACGAACTCTAAAATACAAATAAATTGTAACTGTTCTTTTTTTGTTTAGGAATTTAAAACCCATTTATTATATCTGACAAGGAATTTAACTTGAAAATGTTACTAGTTTTGTAGAAAAACTTCGCATCTTTATTAAGCTTTGAAATAATATTTTACCTTTACTGAAGAAATCTTTATAAGGCTGGGTGTATGTTGGAGTTTGAGATATGGAGACACTGGAATAGTCGTAATATGTCCCCATGGCTCCCCGAAGAGATGACGTCATTACATCAGTTATAATGTAGGATTTCCCGGACTGCATTGTACAGATCAATATATTTATATATCGTTTATACCCCCTTATTATAAAGCAAACCACTTTTTGTTACAATATATGAATGTCGTTATGGTTTTCAATCCTTGCACAAGCATTTTAAATCGATGAGTTAACTGGGTTTTTTTCTTATAATAAAACAAACTCTATATTTATTTTGACGCTTACTATGACGTAGCCATATGAATCTTCATTCAATGTCTGTTTAGACATATTCAGCAACAGTTCTTTGGCTTGGCTGCTTAAACCTAAAAGAGACATAACTTGAGCATGTACAAACGGATATATATGCTTATTTCCGCGCATACAAAAACACACAAACGTCAATATACATCACGGTAGCATAGTGGCAGGCCGTTCGCTTCGTGATTGAGAGGCCTGGGTTTGATTCCTGGTCGTCGCGCTGCGTCAAGCCCAAGACGTAAACATAGGTTGTGATTTTTCCTTTGTCAGGCCCCAAAGACCTTTAAAACCAAGGTCACATGTCACGGTAGCCCTAAGACGATAAAGAACCCTCACCGCTCAATTGCTCAATGGCCCTAGGTGCCGAATAAAGGTGTAAATTTGAAGCCCTTCACCGGTATATGGAGACGACTTTATGTGAGTAAAAATTATCGAATAGGACGTAAATCTCTATACAATCAACCACAAACATCAATAACATTGTTTTCGTGAAACATAAGCTATAAAAGTAGCATGTTCCATGCAGGAATACATATCAGAGAGAGAGAGAGGGGGGGGGAGATCAATTAATTGTCCATAGAGTTCATGCATATTTGGGATAAGAAAATGATCGTAGATTTTCCTTGTCCTAATTATGAGTATTCTTACATTACAACATTTAAATCCTCTGTCATGGGTAAATATTAGTCATGCATTATTTGACAACCACCATCATGTGAAATTTCTGCCATCTTTCAGTTTGAATAGCTATTCATATCAAAGCTAAACAGAATAATTATGTAAACATACTGAATTCAACGAATTTTTCTTTGTAAAAAAAATCGACATTATGATTCACTACCCTAACACGAAGAAATTATTCATTTTATCGCTTTATCCCATATGCAATGAGCCAATACCAACGTCAAAAGAATTCTAATATTTTGATGGCATGGGTAGGCTAAACCATTGTAATTTTTAGCGTCTGAATAATTACCGGGTATTTAAGAAATAGGAATATATTGAAAGTGCTTTTATATTAGAACATGTTAAATTTTTACACATCATACAACCATAAGATTGAGATAAAAGATACTACAGAGTCTGACACATCTGTTTAATATTTGAATATTTTATTAGGAAAAGACGTTAATGGTAATCTAACAACAAAGCTTTATGATAAACGTGATGATTTTAACTTTTCAATCGTCATCTTCCTTTACTTATGCGGCAATATACACTTATCACCTGCATATGGGGTTTATATCTCTCAGTTGATTCGATACGCCAGAGCATGCTCTACGTATGAACAAGTTCTAAAACGCGGTAAGTTATTGACAAACAAGTTGATGAACCAAGGATATCAGCAGTCTCGTTTAAAGTCATCATTTCGTAAGTTCTGTGGTCGATACAATGACCTTGTCAGCAAATACAATCTATCATTAAGACAAATGCTGACTGACGTTTTTTACATTAATTGTTAGGCCATTATTTACACCCTGAATTGTCGACGGATTTTTCCGTTCTTTCCCGATCATGACAAGGAGCACACTGCGGGTGTGACTGTTTGGCAGGGGATGCCTACTCCTTCATGGCACCGGATCCCACCTCTGTTGTTTTAGAGGTCCGTGTTTGCTCTGCTCCTATTTTGTAATGATTAATGGACTTTTAACCTCGAATAATGTTCGTTATTTTCACATATTTCATTATTGTGAAACTGATTACTACATAATGCGTCACAAATCTTTGTAATTGCTATTATCTTTTAGAAGTCAAAAATCACTGAATCTGACTATGTGTTGTATTCGTAAAATCGTTACGTAAACAATTTAATGTGTTCCTATTTATTTAATAGGTATTCATGATTTTGACAGAATCATGGAAAGAAGCGTTTTCATGAGTAGCTCTATTGAGTGATACTTTCTCTTCAGTAGATGGACTTCCTCTCCCATTTACTAGCTCTTGCAATGTTCTTTATATTAATATTACTCTTACTATTGCCTATTCCATACGTGTTGATGACAACTCTGTTTTGCAGTCTATGGTTCTCGTTCTTGATAACCTCTAGTGGATTGCCTCCTATGTTGTTCCCATCGGTTACAAACAAAATTATACTGTCTGCAATAAAGAAGGAAATTTTCCTCAGTGCTCATTAAACTGCTTTTGAATATATTTTTTGGGACATAAAAACAGCGCATCATAAAAATGGATAATTTTGCATCTTGTATTTTGATTCTAACACAGAGTGTGAATCAGATCATATTAAAAATCTTATTTTCCTTTTTTTTTTTTTTTTTTTTTTTTTTTTTTTTTTTTAACAAAATGTTAACAAAGCGTGACTCAACACTTTAATATTTCGAGCATCGGCAGATGTTTCCTTATGCGTACTTGACACTTAACCATTTTAATGCCAAATAAACAAGCACTGTGCTATCTGTGTTCCATATCTGTTGGGAAAATGGGGGATTTTTAAAACCTGATATCATCATCAGACATGCATGTCTTCCAAAATTACCAGTTTACACTAACCTCTCGCCGCATTCTCTTCACTTGAGTTAGTTTTAAAGTATTCGAATGCTTTGCGTAAACCCACTTCATAATTTGAGCCTCCATCCGCTCCTTTAGAGTTAATGAATTTTTCCAGAACATCTTTCGTTGTGCGAGTTACTGGGACAAGTTGTTCATTATAACAGCCATTTGGACTACTTGCCACATTGTTAAATAATACAATAGCAATCTATTAAAATAAAAGCATTGTATACATGAATTTAATTCACACGTTAGTGATTTTTTTTTAATTGAAACTGGTATAATTGTATTCAGAGACATCTTGTTTCAATAATGATTTGGAAATGTTTTCCCGTTATTTTAAACCGTTTTATTATCACAATAAATAAGTACAGTAAATCTATAAGCATTGTAAAAAGATGTTTGTTCGTTGTTCAATGTCCCTTTGAGAATTTTTCATTCATATTGAGATGACACCACTTTCCAGTGTAGGTCTGCAAATTTAGACCTATACTAAGCAATTACGGCGTTTGAGAAGTGAGGGATCTTTTTCCTGCCAGCACCTACTGCGACACGGGACCTCGATTTACACAATCTCACCCGAAGGACTGGTCTCCACGTCCCGCATTGCGATTCGAACCCGCGACGTAAGGATCAGCTCCTTACTCCGCGAATCTAGAGCAAACACTCTAACCACTGCGCCACGCGGGCGACTGTAAAAAGATGTGTCTTAGTTTATATTTATCCTAAACGTTTCTTAACCATATCCCCCATTCCTCGAGAGTGAAGATTCAGGAGGGAGGAAGTAAACTGTTCTTGGTTTGTCTCTGTCTCTCTGATTCTATTTACCATGCTGTTGACTTTCGAAGTAAAAAATCATGAGTTTAAGAATTTGTAAGAGAATCAATGAGACTTCAAACTCGGCACAAATGTCAGGACCCTTAAATCAAGATCATCTGAACAAGGTCAACATAGATTGAAAAAGTCTAGATTCTAGCTTAGATCATTTGAACATAGTGAAAGTGACATTTAGCAAATTCTATGGTCGCAACAATGACCTTGTCAGCAAATACTATCAGGACATAAAAATCTATCATTAAGTCGAATGCTGTCCGACGTTTTTCATACAAATTGTTAGGCCATCATTCATATACTGAATTGTCTACGGATTTTTCAGTTTGCCCGATCATGACAAGGAGTACACGGCGGGTGTGGCCGGTCGACAGAGGATTCTTAATCCTCCATGGCACCTGATCCGGCCTCGGATGTTTTAGAGGCCCGTGTTTACTCTGATAAAGGTTTTTATTGTTTAAATGGACTTTTGAGCTTGGTTGCAGTCCGTACCTCCATATTCCTTTCATATTTTACAAGAATAAGAACGTATTATTATGTTCCTCAAACGAAGTTTGGGAAGATATTGCTTTAAATTTACTTTCTTTTTTCAAAATTTCTTCTCCGGTATTTTTTTTTGTCCGCGAGTGTTCTCGGAAACTACTCATCATATTGAGATAAAACCTCTTTAGGGTTAAGGGACATAGTGTGTAAATGTGTGGAACGAATGCCATTTTGCACGCACTGCATCCACGTGCGTGCGCGTGCAAGGAGTGAAATGACTGATACACTTGAAACAGCTTTATCCTTTGTATCTTTTAATGATATGCATGGAACCCCATTATATTAACATAAATCATACATAAGCTAAGAAGGCTTTACATTATCATATATATGAGATATCGTGAAAACACACGCATGTACGTGTGCTGCAATTTGATTGGCTTAAACTTTAAATGGAAGTATTTTTCTTAGTTTTCAACGAAACAGGAAGAAGTTTAGAATATAGATAGGTATAATAGGTTCCTATATTGTGCTAACTATCAAATTGAATGCAAGAACATGTATACACGTTTGCTGGATTCTGATTGTCTAATACTTATATGACTGTATCTCTCATAGATTTCAATGAAATTTTTGAGATTTCTTACATAGGTATTTATTGTGAGTCTCTTCACGAGGAAGACATGTGAAATATCAGAAAACATGAGCATGCGCGTGCTCTGAAATCTGGAATGCTAATATTCAAAGAACTATACCGGCGTTGTTTTTCGATTGAATACTTCTGAAAAGTATATATTTATTATCAGAAGAATTTCCTAATTTAATGAAGCTTGCAGTGAATGGGTCCCATAAGGGAGTGGGGGAGTGTTTGGGGGAACATCTGTAACGGTTCCCGTTACAATTAGAACTAGATTACTTTTGATTTCTTTTTTTTTTTGTGATTTTCAGGCGTTGTTAGAATTAAGAAAATGTATTTTTTGTTTTTAGACAGGAATGCGTTTAACATGACAACAACTTCTCGGTAATAGAGAAAAGCTTAAAAAAAGAGTTTTAAAATTATCATTCATTTCGAACTTACAATTGATACAGTCATAATATTTTACAAATGACCTTGTCAAAGGATTAAGATACCCATTTTGTGATCATAATTTTTTATCGAATTCCAAGTCTCAAAGTTTAAATTCCTTTCACTTAGAACTTTTCAATGTTACCATAAGTAAATTGGACGAAAAATCTGTGGTGGTAATAAGCTATTTATGCGCCTTGATTCTTTAAGATCCATGGTGCATTTTTTAGCTCTGCTTGCTCGAGAATAATGAAAAAGTTCAAATTTTGACAGAGAGAGAGGCAAATGATTTTTCGTCATTAAGAATTATGCTACAATTTTTCAAACCAAGAAATGCGGTAGGGTTACATACCCTGTCCTGAACACTGAGAGTTTCCATAACAGTTATGGCGGCATCTCTAGTCTCGCTTAGTTTGTCTCCCATCATAGAGGCGGATATATCTAAGACCAACACCACGTCTCTTGGATTAGAAGTTGTACTGGACACGAAGAAAGGTCTTTTATAAAAGAAACATACATTAAGACAAGTAGATATACATACATAGTGTAAGGATGTGTTTTGGCAATCCAATATTCCTTTTAAACAAGGCAAATACAGAGAAAATATGTTTAATCATGAACATGAGATGCTACCAAGTTTCTCGTCGAAAGGGATAAATACACAAAAACACCATCCACAATAAATACCCTGCTAATCCATATTTTTAACAATTACATTGATGGTTTTAAAACAAAAGAAAGGAGATGGTCGAACAAGGCGTACTGAATTCCTATTGCTTCAGATATGTTAAAAATCATATTCAATTTGTGAATTTAGCGTTTAGAGTAAAGTTCACATCATTGAAATTTATGAAATAATGACATACAAAACTTTTCTCTGAGAAAAATTTTCTTGGTAAAAAAAAACACTTTTATTAAAAATATAATGTGGTATTCTTGGGGTTCGAACCCTTACAATAAAAATCCTGAGTATCAATTTCCTTTGAGACTTACACTCTTACCACTACGCTACACAACTACAGCTTAGGACTATATGTAGTGGCATTTAAATCATAATTATTTGTGATGTGACCCTTGACTAAATGGACTTCAATTATTTCGCACGATCCCGAAAGTTGTGTCATAAAAGTGTATTTTTAAGGTACAGAGGACCTTTATGCTCCTTGCTTTGTTAACCAAAACAGATAATTTTTTACGCAAAATTTGAGGATAACCTACCAAAAAATCGAGTGAAGACCTACTCTTATGAAAAAAAATGTTTTATAATATGAAAAAAAGATCCTTTCTGCCCTCTTTGATTTGTGTATGCATTTCATAGGCAAATAATTTCAATCTTTGTAAGATTTTTACAAATTATAGAGATTTTACATAAAGTATACTGATATGTTAGATGAATAAATAAGAAAAATGTTGTTAAAATTTAGATTTAATTTTTCACTTTTCATATTTGTCGCACTCTATGACTTCGCTCGCCTTGTTCGCCTTCTTCTTTAATTTTTTTAAGTTTAAAAGACACTTTACGTCCTACTACATCGATTTACATTTTTTTTTAGATAATTTGTTCATAATTTTAAAAATGTTTCTTTCAAAGCCAGCAATGCCAGGCAAAAAAGAAAAATAATAATAATGATAATTTGATGTATATAAACCACTAGTGTCTCACTACTCAGTTGGTTATACTAGTATATTCATGCAGAGAACGAATAGCATGGACTCTAAATGACATACAATCAAGGTGTAGAAGTTTTATTTAGGTGTTAAAGATCAAATAATCGTCCTAAAGTAATACATTTCAAATTTACGAAAACGTACATGTATAAACGTTTTTGCTGTTCTTTTTCGGAAGGTTCTGGCAAATACTATACAGGGATCATAAAAGTAAAGTTAATCCTACATATCACATAGAAATCATATACATAAGGGATTTAAAGGTCAATTGATAATTCAAAGGAGTGATCTGATTTTTTAAATTTTGTTTTGAACACGATGTCGACTTTTTAAGACAAGAAATCTTTGTTATTGGAATTTAAATTGTGTTTACAATTTTGTTATCTTCTTACTTTACGTTAACGTCTTCTGACATACAATATCTGTAACTGGTGAAGTCTACTTACCTGAACCGTGGGTCGAACGTACTGCAATCAGTCAACTTAGTCGAGGGATAATTGATAAAGAGTCCTGATGTAAAAGCAATGTATTGGAACTGGAGGTTTTTGTTGTTTTGATGGTTGTCTTTCATTGTAGTCAGTATATCCACTGTTGGATATTTTATCTGAGCATTTTCTACGTAGCTTGGCTTATTGTAGCAAAAGTTATCTAATGAAACCTGGAAATAAGGGGGAAAATAATCAATAATCTTTAGAAACTAACGTCATTGATTCTGCTTTTAATTTGAAAAAAAAGTAGAAATATTCACCCTGGTTCTAAAGTGTAGGTTTTTCTGATAAGTTCCGTCTACACAGCAGTCTTGGTGTGTGTTACTAGAGGTCATCTGATCATATGTATCCTCCATGGTACGTTTCAGATCATTTAAAGAAGTTTTTATATTTTCCATCCGTTGAGCAATTTTCTTTGAAATCTGCAAAATATTTGTTTAAATGAAATTCAGTCACACTTTTTTAAAACATATTTTAATACATTTTTCCTTATCTGTTATATTTGCTTAAACTTACGAATGACATTTTTAGCACAACGGACTCTTCATTATTCTATCAGAACACTGTATTTTGCATCTTTCGTAATGCTGGCGTAAGTCAATATTTCATTTTTAAAAAAAATATATCTTTGATTTTATTGTTCATTAAGATTCAATGCAACAATTACTATAGTTATGTCAATTCTTTGAAAATGTTTCGCCCTTATTATCTTTGATTTTATTGTTCATTAAGATTCAATGCAACAATTACTATAGTTATGTCAATTCTTGTGAAAATGTTTCGCCCTTAAGGAGGCGTCTTCATCAAAGATGCAAACCTTTGCCTTCAATTTAATTTACTTAATCGTTTGTTTCTTTGTTAGTTGCAATCATGTGATCCCACTTTTTTGGTACGAATGCACATTTCCACCTTTATACACCAGATCTAGAGGTAGTATAATTGTAACTTACGTCTTGTGATAACCTCTGTCCATCTCTTTGTTGATCATTGTAATGCATCTTGTTATAGATTTCCTATAGTGCAAAGAAAAAACATTTAATTTCGCATCAAAATGAATAGAAAAACACTTGTTATGGCCTTCAACTCCACATTCAAATCTATTGATTAACAATGGTCACTTTTATTGATATGTTGACTCGATAAATCACAGTGAACTCGAAATAAAAGACACCACAGAGTCTGTCACATCTGTTTCATTTTTGGATGTTTTACTTGCTATATATGAAAAGGGCAAATCAACAGCTAATTTATTTAATCATTGATTCATATTAGCTGCAGATCTGTAACTCGCTGGTTTGAAAAAACTGGGATGTCGTCTTTTTTTTCGGGGGGTTAGGGGTGGGGGTGGGTGGCTGTGGGCTACTCAAACATTTTTTAGGCTAAGTTGTCAATTGTTTCCTTATATGCACCCTTTCAAAATAGACCCTACGTGGCCGATTTTTATTTTTTTCTATGACGCACATAAAGTAGATCTTTAAAATCCAAATAAATACAACTTTCACACCTCTTTCCTCATAAAGTTTGTCTAGGACTTCAGCAAATTTAAACAAGATGGCATGGGTTAAATATCGAGTTCTTATTACTAGTATTTAATCATTGATTCATATATCTTGCAGATATGTAACTCGCTGGTTTGAAAAACAGGGATGTCGTCTATCTCATTTTTTTTCAGACAAGCGAGCTACAGATCTGCATCTAGATTTATATAAGACAACAATTATATATATATACATATATATATATATATAAATATATATATATATATATATATATATATATATATATATATATATATATATATATATATATATATATATATATATATATATATATATATATATATATATATATTGCAGTGGAGGAACAGCGCGCTAGATGGCTATCCATCAAGTCAAAAAAGCTTGCTTTCGATGCTGATTCTCGCCGAGCTGCCCTCAGTACACGGTCTTTGAGAATGGATTGATCGATTGATTGTGTGTTGTTTTACGTCCCGTTCGAGAATTTTTCACTCATATAGAGCCGTCACCATATACCGGTGGAGGGCTTCAAATTTAGACCTTTACTCGGCACTCAGGGCCATTGAGCAGTCAGCCATTGAGCAGTGAGGGTTCTTTATCGTGCCAACGCCTACCGTGTCACGGGGCCTCGGTTTTTAATGTCTCATTCGAAGGACCCGCAACTTTCACTTCAAAGTGCCGAGCACTTGGCGAAGGAATAGTTGCTACCTATTTTTTTTAATATCAATTTAGGTCAGTCGCGGCCGTGATTCGAACACACGACCTTCCGATCACGGAGCGAGCGCTCTACCGACTGAGCTACCGTGACGGCCTTTGGGAATGGAAGTGAGATAAAACCAAATTTATGAAGCTTCGGTATACGCTAAACAATATCTCCAGTTTATTCAAAGTTGAGTGAATATGCGTTCAGGAAAATTACAAAAAAAGTTTTCTGATATCGATGTCTGTTTTCTGAAAAAAAATTTCATCTAATATTTTTACATATTCCATAAAATATATTACCTGTATAAAAGACCTCCCGACTGCATCTGCCACCCTGTTTAATTCATTGGCCAGTATATCTCCGCTTATTTTTTGACCATAAGTTTCCTTCACTGGCTCAAAAGTTCCCAAAACAAGAATTACAACTAAGTTAACACACTTGATCATTGCAATTCCTACAGTTTTTATTATTTAATGAACATGCTTTTACTCCAGACTCTTTGGGAGATGTCTTCAAAAAGAATGAGCATTCAAATTATTTCACTGTTCTGTGTTTTTTTTCTATATTACTCAGGTGTCATATTTTGACTGGGACTTCCCCCAGCGGACTTCCAGTCGATTCTTTCGTTAAAAAACTCCTATAGGGCTTCAATTTCCACGGCCTTCAACTATAATAAGGAAAAAGTTCAAGATTAACATATATCATATTTCATTATTTTCCGGCAAAATGTGATGCAAACAACAAGTACATATTCTTGCACTTTGTTATACTCTGAAAACCACAGCTAGTTCGCATGCGTATTTCTTGACGATGCTTCAATGGCAAAACCTTGGTAGCGTGACAAGTAAAGGTAATGAACACTTCCCATTACCTCTTGGCAATTCAATACGAAAAAAAATCTACGTTTAAAGTCTTTGGAATAGATCTAAATACCTAGTGATAAAATATTGTACAGACTGACGAGTTTCTGTTCAATTGATTGGCAACTAAATCTCGCAAATTTCTTCCAGTTTTGATCCAAGGATGAAAGGGATTTATCAGACATCCAAAGTAAACTTAAGAGTTTATATAATTCAAGGCATTAATATTTACATATATTTGTGTGTGTTTTTGTGTTCATTCCACATAGATTCCGCGATAGATTTCCACTTATTAAATTTTGGCTGCAATTGACAACCATTACATTGTGCAGTACAAATTTTCGAATACAATTATGTTTGGGGATTATGTTCCCCAAACGAAGTTTGGGAACATATTGTTTTTACTCTGTTTCTTATTATTATTATTATTATTATTATTTTTCTTCCTGGGTACTTTTTTTGTCCGTTAGTGATCTCGGAAACTACTGTAGATTCCTTATTTTACGCGAGTACTTAATATCGCGAAATGGCCCAAGGGCGCCAAATTGCGAGAATAATAATTCGCGAATGGGTGATTTATCTAGATATTTTACATACATTAAAGCACCATAAAAATAAAAGCGAGTAATTTTATTTCGCGAGCGGTGCTTCTCGCGTAATTACGCGATAATTTATTCCTCGCGTATATTTAGGAATTTACAGTATACATCCGATTGAGGTGAAACCTTTTTAGGTTAATAGGAATGTTATGTAGATTTGCGGAACGAAGGTCATTTTGCGCGCACGCACCTGCACGTGCGTGCACGTGCGTTGCGTAAAATGACCAATATACTTGATATAGCTGTAACTTCTATATTTTTTGATAAAATGCTTTGATACTCAGAATATAAGGATATATTAAAAGTGTAGACAAGATGACATGGTCAGCATGCACATGCATGCACGTTCGCGCACGCGCAAAGCGTAAAATGACCAATATACTTGATATATTCGTAACTTTTATACTTTTTGATACAATGCTTTGATACTCAAAATGTATATATATATATATTTGATGTGTAGAGAAAATGACATGGTCAACATGCACATGCATGCATTTGCATGCACGTGCGCGCACGTGCAATGTGTTAAATGACCAATATACTTAATATAGCCGTAATTTTTTTTATATTTTTTGATGAAAAGCTTTGATATTAAGAATATACAGATATATTAAAAGTGTATACAAGATGATGTCGACATCATGCACATGCATGCACATGCGCGCGCGTGCAATATGTTAAATGACCAATATACTTAATATAGCCGTAACTTTTATATTTTTTGATGAAAATTTTTGATACTAAGAATAAACACACATATTATAAGTATAGACAATATGGCGTGGTCATTATGAACATGTACGCAGGTGCGCGTGCGCGCAATGCTAAGATGACCAATATACTTGATATAGCCGTAACATATATTTTTTGACTGAGAGTAAAAAGATGCATTAATAGTATAGACGGGATGACATGGTCATCCTTCACATGTATGCACGCGCACGCGCGTGAAATGCGAAAAACGACCAATATACTTCATTGCCTTATTTAATGAAGCTTACAGGAAATAAGACACCAAAAGGGAGTTGGGGAGCGTTTGGGGAACATCTGTAACGGTCCCCGTTACAATTATAACTAGTTGTATTTGTTTTTTGTTGTATTAGAAAACCTCTATACTTTTATCCTGTTAAAAGTGAATATGGAATATAATTAAAGAATATGTACTTTTCTGCAACAATTTGAACCAATCTGGACACAAAACTTATGGTGATGAATTACGTTATTATTATTATTATTTTTTTTTTTTTTTTTTTTTTTTTTTTTTTTTTTTTACACTTTATTATTTTCAGATGTTAATCTTTCTCAAATCTATTTCCTTTTCAAATTTAAAGTCAACAGAAACTCAATGAAATCTAACGCATTCATCCTTTGCTAGGATTAATAAACAAAGTATTTACAAGATTGAGGAGGCTTTTTACACTCTACGATGAAGAGTTTTAATTGCATTAAAAATTTAGGAAATAACACTTTCTTCCTTTAGATGTAAGATAGAATAAAAGGTAATCAATAGTGAATGAAAAAAAAAAAGCTATATTAAAGCATTCCAGATTTAAAAAAAAAATGAATACATTTTTCCATATATAACATTTTTCTTGGAGAAATATAACAGGTACTTAATGTTGAAATTAAACTTGATAAACTCAGTGGGTTCACCTTTACAAGATATACATGTGATTATCTCGAAATAAAAAAAAAGTTTCTTCAGTTCCTAAAGCCTCTTTTCGAAGTCTGTGTGTTGATAAAAAAAAAAATAAATCTTTTAATGATCCTGTTAATGTCACAAGAGACCGCTGTATTTTTGAAATCAGCTTGATTGTCAGTAACCTACTCAGATTTCATTTTGATCTTTACGTTTCTTTTCAGATTTAAAGTTTCTTTCATTTTATTGAACTTACTCAATTCAAAAATTGGAATTTAAAAAATGGTTAATTGCAAACCAACGTCTGTGTTGTATAAATATCGTCTTCTTGGGTCAGTACCTACAAGTACAAGGAACATCAAATATTTAGAATGCCTTTTTGGTTTATAGTCCTATTTTAAAGGAGACCAACCATAACAGAGAGGATGACTTTAATTTCTTCCTTCTTTTACCAAATGATGATAATCATTGTGGCAAATAATCTTTACAAGACACGCTAACACAGCGTAAATAATGATGGGATAATTTTAGTTATTCAATACATTTTGGTAATTACACAAATAAGCAAAGCATGCCATCACATTGTACATATTTATCATCTATATCTATAAACTGTCAGATAAAGAATTAAATGCAATTCGAGGAACCGAAATTTATATTCAAATTTATAATAAACTAGGTGTCATACGATGCATAAAGTTTAATGTGTAAATTAAGATGACGTGACATACATTTTTAGAGTCATTGAAAATTTAGCAAGCAGTTGATATTATCTTTAACATAATCTCTACATCCTGTCTCTTCAATTTGAAATAAACATATGATCGACATTAGACTGTTTCCAAGACGATACAGTGAGGACGGGAACAGAAAAATAAAGTCACATCAACCTGTACATATTCAATATATTCACATTGTAATAGTTATATTAAAAAAGCAAGGTGGATAATACACGTACATTTTAATTAATATGTAACAGTATGTTTTACATAAACACCAAATATACGTCTTTTGTTCAATTAAATTTCGTAATTTCTTGTATACTTTTCATTTTTATTTTCTTGATCGTTTTTACCGATGATTTCTGGAATAAACAGGTTGAAAATTTGCTCGATACTTCTTTGATCTAGTAATTATAAATTTTCTGAGCAAAAAAAGTTAATAGCATTTTAAGCTTGTCATTTTACATTTGTACAAAGATATATATGTACCCTTTCATCGGTTAAACGCCAATTGAATTGTAGGGCACATATCGAAAGACTCCGAAACAACCTCATTACAAGACGGCTGACACGGTACGCAAAGAATAAATTTAAAAGTATAAGGATTATTCTACTGATACATACTTTCTCATTAGTATAAATAAGATTATGTTTCTGTTGTTGTTTACTTACTTATGCTTAGATTCTAGACAAAAGTAAAAAATAACGTAGGAAGTAGGAAGAGTGTATGTTATCGTCAACATACAACATCCATTTTTTCTCTTCGGGCTTGCTGTTCACAAAATTTGATCCCTTCATTGAACATTTAAGCTTATTATTCAATCTTTAAAGTCTTTTTAAATACTTCATATTTAACTGATATGTCGAAATTTGTTAGCTTTCGTTCAATGCTGTTTACAGCTATTTTTATGAGAAAATTATTCTTTGATCTTTTTTTATTAGAAGTAAAAAATTGTTCTTACTCGGGACTAAAATACAAAGGGCGTATTGTAGCAGTATCCAAGGAAAAAATTGTTTGCATGAACATGTACGTATAATGCAGTCCTGGGGACACTTAACTAAGTTCCTCATCACAGAACGCCCTTTAGTCTCACAAGAAGTTCCTATACATCTCTTTTATGCTTTTTAATATCTTTATTTATTTATGGTATTTATTTATTCATCTCTAAATTATATATCCTTTGTTTATCAGCAAAAAAAATATGTATGATAAAGTTAAATTTTAAATTCATTAAACTTGCTTTCCAGCTTTAAAATATTCTTCAATATAATGTAAACAAAATATAAACAATATAATGTAAACGAACCTTTTTTCTTAAAATATTACAAACAATTAATAAACTACCATTTATCATTTCACATTAGCTGGAAAAAAATTTGATGAGCAGAAAAACATAAACAAATCAAAAATATCTTTGAACCATTTCTAATGATACGTCATTATTTTCAGAAATAAGCGGTACAACAACTCAATAACTATGTAGCTTTGTCATTATATATTTGTAAAAGGTGAAGATAATAAACAGTGATCAATCGCATAGATCCAGTAGAAAATACGAACAAGGCAATTACATGGAGCACAGGAAACACTGGCTAGAACAAAGCAATAACATAGACCACAGGAAACACCAGCTACAACAAGGCAATAACATGGACCACAGGAAACACTAGCTAGAACAAGGCAATAACATGGACCACAGGAAACACCAGCTAGAACAAAGCAATAACATGGACCACAGGAAACACCTACTAGAACATGGCAGTAACATGGACCACAGGAAACACTAGCTAGAACAAAGCAATAACATAGACCACAGGAAACATCAGCTAGAACAAAGCAATAACATGGACCACAGGAAACACCAGCTAGAACAAGGCAATAACATGGATCACAGGAAACACTAGCTAGAGCAAGGCAATAACATGGACCACGGGAAACACTAGCTAGAACAAAGCAATAACACGGACCACAGGAAACACCAGCTAGAACAAGACAGTAACATGGACTACAGGAAACACCAGCTAGAACAAGGCAGTAACATGGACAACACCAGCTAGAACAAGATAATAACATGGACCACAGGAAACACTAGCTTGAACAAAGCAATAACACGGACCACAGGAAACACCAGCTAGAACAAGATAATAACATGGACTACAGGAAACACCAGCTAGAACAAGACAATAACATGGACTACAGGAAACACCAGCTAGAACAAGACAATAACATGGACTACAGGAAACACCAGTTAGAACAAGACAATAACATGGACTACAGGAAACACCAGCTAGAACAAGATAATAACATGGACTACAGGAAACACCAGCTAGAACAAGACAATAACATGGACTACAGGAAACACCAGCTAGAACAAGATAATAACATGGACTACAGGAAACACCAGCTAGAACAAGACAATAACATGGACTACAGGAAACACCAGCTAGAACAAGATAATAACATGGACTACAGGAAACACCAGCTAGAACAAGATAATAACATGGACTACAGGAAACACCAGCTAGAACAAGATAATAACATGGACTACAGGAAACACCAGCTAGAACAAGACAATAACATGGACTACAGGAAACACTAGCTAGAACAAGATAATAACATGGACGACAGGAAACACCAGCTAGAACAAGATAATAACATGGACCACAGGAAACACCAGCTAGAACAAAATAATAACATGGACCACAGGAAACACCAGCTAGAACAAGGCAATAACATGGACCACAGGAAACACCAGCTAGAACAAGGCAATAACATGGACTACAGGAAACACTAGCTAGAACAAGGCAATAACATGGACCACAGGAAACACTAGCTAGAACAAGGCAATAACATGGACCACAGGAAACACCAGCTAGAACAAGGCAATAACATGGATCACAGGAAACACCAGCTAGAACAAGGCAATAACATGCACCACAGGAAACACCAGCTAGAACAAGATAATAACATGGACCACAGAAAACACCAGCTAGAACAAGGCAATAACATGGACCACAGGAAACACCAGCTAGAACAAGGCAATAACATGGACCACAGGAAACACCAACTAGAACAAGACAATAACATGGACCACAGGAAACACTAGCTAGAACAAGGCAATAACATGGACCACAGGAAACACTAGCTACAACAAGGCAATAACATGGATCACAGGAAACACTAGCTAGAACAAGGCAATAACATGGACCACAGGAAACACCAGCTAGAACAAGGCAATAACATGGACCACAGGAAACACCAGCTAGAACAAGGCAATAACATGGACCACAGGAAACACCAGCTAGAACAAGGCAATAACATGGACCACAGGAAACACTAGCTAGAACAAGGCAATAACATGGACCACAGGAAACATCAGCTAGAGATGGGATCTGGTGGCTAGGAAGAGTAACATCCCCTGTCGACCGGTCAAGCCCTTAAGTATGAAAAAATTACCGAACAATTCGTATAAAATATTTACTATTATCAAAATTTAGGTTTACAAATCATACGTTGAATATTGAAACAAGTCGACACTGTAACATACCTAAGATTAGACGACTTTCATTATTGAAATGCCCTTTGTATATCGATCTAAGACAGACATTTTTGAAAAAAAAGTATTATTATACTAAACCTAGTGTCTTTATATAAATTCAACTGTTCAGTTCTAATAATATCAAAAATCTCTTAAATTTAGGCAAATTTTTGAATGCTGTCACATTGTTAAGAAAAATTATATCGATGTATAGAACTTTTTTCATGTATGTATTTTTTACGTTGACTTTCTTTTTCCTTAATAGCATGATTGTATAATTATTCTGATGAGCCAGTTGGCTTAAGGAAATAAAGAAACTGGAAATTTGAATGTCAGACAAAATACGACCCAATGATAGGTTGCATTTGCAAACAAGGTCATTATAACGATCGTAGAATTTCCGAAAGAGCTGATTGTTGAATTCCCTGTATTTTTCATGTAGCTTGCCTCATATTATTATTAGTTCAAAATTACTGGAATACTGAATTGTCATTTAAATCAAACATCCAGTTTTATATGGATTAAAATAATAATCAGGATATTCCTGTCTTTAACTATATTTAAAATCTTTATTTCCATAATCACAAGGGAAATTTGTTTAAATATTAATTTCTGCAGTCTCTTAAAAAAGCTTTCCTAGTTGAATAAAATCATTTAGAGTTATTCACCTTTTTATGTATCTGCTTTGCCATGTGTGGATTACGGCTAAGTCTCCTCTGAAGACAATGGCAATTGCAAGATTTACCACTTCCCTTTCACAAAACTAATGTAAAATCTTATTCCTACATTTCTGTCGCAAGTGAATAAAGGCTAGGTATGGGCGTTCTATGAGACTGAGCTAATTAAAACACATAAGTACTTAGTTTATCATACAAAGAAAGATTAAAATCATCTTCTAATAGATACTTGGTACCAGTGACATGCTGCAACCAATATGACATCTTCATCTTTTAGATAAGGCACTGGTAGAAGTTCAGGAAATTTACAAGAAAATTTGGACTGAAATAACAAGTTTATTGTTTAGTTGTTTATTTATTATCTTTATTTTCATTATATTTCAGAATGTGAAGAGTTTTATTGCATATTTACACAGGATATATGTCAGTTTCACATTAAATCTGTTTCCAGGGAAGTATTAGATTTTATATCAGAAATGATTAATGTAAGTAGTATAGCAGATGATGTTCACATACATTATATGTCGGTCTCACGAGACATAAGTATTACATTAGATTATATATCGCAAATGATACATGCAAATATTACAGTAAATTGAGGTTCACACAGATTATTTGCCAATATTACATTAAATCTGTCTCTCAAATAGCAAAACAGTCATTAATTTATTTATTTTTTTTTTTTTTTGGTCAAAAAAGATATGTCTGTGTTATAGAAGGTAATGTCAAAAAGGATTTAAAACCAAATTAGCATTCTTTTTTTTTTAAAATTGAGATATTATTTTTTTACTATTTGTAGAATTTTTTTTCTCTATTTTAACACTTTCTGAGACCCCGAGGGCCCTTATTTCATGATCACAGTGTTATAAAAATTTGAAGTACACATGAAATGAAAAAAACATTACATATCAAATTGCATTTCATATTGTCAGATGTTTTAAAAGAAATATTCGAATCATAAAGAAAACACACATATTTCATTGTATCTTTTGTTCTATATCACTGATCTGTTACACTCAGGTTTTCTTCTGATGTTTCGCCGGGTTGTCGAGAAACGTAGGAAATGTGGGAGGACTGATAATCTACAGATTCATTGGAGGAAAACACACATGATTTTCCCTGAAGATGGATTGCATTAATATATGTGTCATTTCCATGTTTTTTTTTCTTCGCTTATATCGGACGACAAATACAGCGACGCCAATGATGATGATGATGATAAGAATTGCTGCAGACAGAACACCATAAACCATCGTCTTGGGTTCTGGGTGTTCCATGCATTCAGATCCACAACACTTTGAATTACAATCTAAAAAAAACTGTTTACTTTTAAACATTGATGCTTGTCAATTTTTTTTCAAATTGATTAACTCGGGAAAAATTAAAATATCATATTGATTAAATTCACCTTTACTGGTCACACACACACACACACACACACACACACACACACACACACACACACCCTCACCCCCCCCCCCCCCCACACACACACACCTTCGATGTATTGTTGTTGGCAATTTCACATAGATAAGACTTTTACGCCACACTAGCTAAATGAATTTTAAGTTTACTGAAAGGGTTTTATAAACATTGGAATGCACTGCTTTTGGTGTACGACTTAGCGCGCTTGCATCGTCTTCCGATGTGTGTGTTGACATATTAGAAGAGGTAGATGGAAGGAATTCGTGGAAATGAGAACATTTAGTTCTATGTCCAATGGAAATAGTGCGCAAGAAAATGTGATCACGGCCATTTAGAGAGCGTCGCTTTGTAGTTTCTTTTAGGAAGCCTTTTGTGATTTATTTAAGTACAGAAAAAATTGAGGGTTAAGGCGGTTTTAGATGCTTAGAAAATAAAGGCAAAAAGAGAAATTCCATAAATGGATAGTTGTAAGTAAGAATTTAGCATTTGCAATTGTACATCAAAGCATTTTATCTTTACCTTCCCTGATTCACTGCTTGGAAGGACAGATTTCCTTCAGGTCACAGAATCCCTCTACCAAATCTCCGTTCATTGAACTAGTACACCAAGAACAGCCGGAAGTACGGAAACAATCACTATATAAACGTAAACGTTCAAATATCTAAAGGATTCAATTCAATCGTATTTCTTAATTAATATGCAATCATATATTTTTCAAAGTTTAAAAGATACGACAACACTAAAAAAAAAATGAAAACTGTGAATATTCCTATTCAAAGCTTACTTGCCTTTCTGTTTTTCTACAAGGACAATTCGCTGGAAAACAGGTTTCCAAATTTTTAGTTTTGTCTTCTTCGGGTACACTTACAGACTCTAGAGTTGGTAGTTTAGGATTGCAAGGATCTATCCCTTCCCTAATTTTACAAAATTTACTAAAATTATGCCAAAATTTAGAGTAATGATAGGAGTAATTTAACTTTATGTATATATTTACTTTATGTGAAAATTGTTATTTTTTGATGTTCACACATTCCTTACATGTCTTCATATTTGTTTTCACATTCGTTGAAATCTAGGGCCCGGTAACAAAGACATGTGCATTTGTCTTTCCCGCATTGTAGTGAACTAGGATAGGCCGAACTCTGGAAAGAAATGAGTTTAAATGACTGAATACATTTTTAATACTAGTATGCGATGCGTTATAAGTAAAAATAAAGAAGGTAGTGTAAAATGGGTCATTTTCTCTCCTCAACTTCACTTTATTCAATTGATATTTTTCACATATTGAATTGATGTGTTTAGAACACTACCAATCTATCAAATGCCATTGACTAAGACCATAAAAGACTTGTTTTGCACACAATTTTTTTTTTGCCAAAAACATCTGTGAATTATCTGTGCATGTGAAACTAAATGCTCACATAGTAATCTTTGCCAACCAAATTTTCTTTGAAAAAAAAAAGATAAATTTACAAAAAGTGAAACGATGTGCTTTCATGGCACTCTTTAAAATATGTCGAAAATCTTAATACTGTAAACCAACTTTTATTCGCGTGCGAGAAATATTCGCGAGTTTCGCGATCTACTTTAACTCGCGAATATTAATCGCCGCGAACCATTTATTTTGCTTTGTTTTGATAGAGAATGTTTCCTCAGTCGCAAAAATTAATCGTTGCGGATTGATTTCAAACTGACGAATCGCGAATTAAAGATGACGCGAATAATAGTTGGTTTACAGTATTAGTTCGAACGATTTCTGATCTTTTCTTCAAGGTATCAACAGATTACCTTTCATCTCTGTAACAAGAATGAGACTGGAACATCAGGTTTGGAAAAAAAAAACATTTAAAATCTGTTTTAATTTTCTGACTTTGACCTTTTCTTTTTGGAATCAACAAAACTTTCCCTTTTTAAGCTATGCATAACTGTCGCAAGGTCGCGTTCCTCCAATTTAACATG